ATTCTCCTCCTATGTAGACGTTAAAGGGAAGGTCATGTCTACGGAAGGTAATTTTGGCTATGTTAGTGGGTTTCTTTCGATGACCTCTGGGGGGGATGGAATAGCATTGTACTGATGTTGCATCGTAGTCTGTGAGACAGGCAAGTAGATCTTCTCCACAATCTGACCATTCTTTGTCATAGATTGGGCAATTTGCTGGGGAGATTGAGACTGTTCCGGTGCAAGTATTGAGGGTTGGATGGGGTTCTGCTAGGATGGGGTTACCATATAGGTCAGTTAGTTTTGTTAGTGCTATGGCTTGGTTTTCGGATGTTACTGTTACAAGACGGGAGCGGTCGGGTCGGCTACGGAAAGAGACTTTACCTACTTGTTTTTTGGAGGCATTGTTGGAAGAGAAGGGTGTTGTTAGAGTAGGGAGCTGTGGGAGGGATCACGAAAAATCGGTCCCATTTGGCTCCACTGAAGAGAGTATTCAAGATTGTTTTAGAGATAGGGGTGGTAGAAGGGCGAGGGCGTGACGAAGATGGAGTAGTGTTGATGGAGGTAGTGTTATGGAGAGGTGGGCTATAAGGCTGTAAGGTATTAATAAGGGAGGATGGGGTGGTTGATGTTGGAGGTTGTGGGGGTAGAGGTGTTGAAGTTGGGCATGCTGGGAGAGTGGAAATGTCCCTTGAGGGTTGATTGTTGGCTACTGTACTAGTAGGCATTGGTGAAGGGGTAGTTATTGCAGTGTTTGGAGCCGTGGTCAAAGGAGAGCCTGGGGTCGGGGAATCGGGTGGGTTTACTTCGTTGGGGCTATTTGATAAAGGGGCAAGCCTCATTGCCCCTAACAGTGGTGATATATTTTCATTACTGGCCATGGGAAGCCTGGATTATGTTGGGGATAAAAGCAGTCCACCCCTCAGGGTCCCCTTGAGGGGTAAGGGCTAGATAACTAAATCAGGGGAATACCGTGCCCATGGCTCCCCTCAGGCCGTTCAGGACTGGCACAAAGTCAGCCTTTCATCCTTTCAGCACGGCTCTCACACCTTAGGAGGTGGATAGCAGAAGGGTTTGGTGAAGGGACAGAAACAAAAGTGGGAAGGGAAAAAAAGACCATGCATAATTAGTTGAGTCGAGGGCTGAGTCCCAAGGTTGGGGAGTTCCCCATCATTGGGTCCCAGTCTCCGCCTCCTAAGCCCCCCCACGACAACAACGTCAAGATTGTTTTAGAGATAGGGGTGGTAGAAGGGCGAGGGCGTGACGAAGATGGAGTAGTGTTGATGGAGGTAGTGTTATGGAGAGGTGGGCTATAAGGCTGTAAGGTATTACTAAGGGAGGATGGGGTGTTTGATGTTGGAGGTTGTGGGGGTAGAGGTGTTGAAGTTGGGCATGCTGGGAGAGTGGAAATGTTCCTTGCGGGTTGATTGTTGGCTACTGTACTAGTAGGCATTGGTGAAGGGGCAGTTATTGCAGTGTTCGGAGCCGTGGTCAAAGGAGAGCCTGGGGTCGGGGAATCAGGTGGGTTTACTTCTTTGGGGCTATTTGATAAAGGGGCAAGCCTCATTGCCCCTAACAGTGGGGATATATTTTCATTACTGGCCATGGTAAGCCTGGTTATGTTGGGGATAAAAACAGTCCACCCCTCAGGGTCCCCTTGAGGGGTAAGGGCTAGATCTAAATCAGGGGAATACCGTGCCCATGGCTCCCTCAGGCCGTTCAGGACTGGCACAGTCAGCCTTTCATCCTTTCAGCACGGCTCTCACACCTTAGGAGGTGGATAGCAGAAGGGTTTGGTGAAGGGACAGAAACAAAAGTGGGAAGGGAAAAAAAAGACCATGCATAATTAGTTGAGTCGAGGGCTGAGTCCCAAGGTTGGGGAGTTCCCCATCATTGGGTCCCAGTCTCCGCCTCCTAAGCCCCCCCACGACAACAACGGGCAAGGGATTGGGGGGGGGGGGGGGGGGGGGGCGTGACGAAGATGGAGTAGTGTTGGGGGAAGTAGTGTTATGGAGAGGTGGGCAATAAGGCTGTAAGGTATTAATAAGGGAGGATGGGGTGGTTGATATTGGAGGTTGTGGGGGTAGAGGTGTTGAAGTTGAGCATGCTGGGAGAGTGGAAATGTTCCTTGAGGGTTGATTGTTGGCTACTGTACTAGTAGGCATTGATGAAGGGGTAGTTATTGCAGTGTTCGGAGCCGTGGTCAAAGGAGAGCCTGGGGTCAGGGAATCGGGTGGGTTTACTTCGTTGGGGCTATTTGATAAAGGGGCAAGCCTCATTGCCCCTAACAGTGGGGATATATTTTCATTACTGGCCATGGTAAGCCTGGATTATGTTGGGGATAAAAACAGTCCACCCCTCAGGGTCCCCTTGAGGGGTAAGGGCTAGATTTTATATACCGTGCCCATGGCTCCCTCAGGCCGTTCAGGACTGGCACAAAGTCAGCCTTTCATCCTTTCAGCACGGCTCTCACACCTTAGGAGGTGGATAGCAGAAGGGTTTGGTGAAGGGACAGAAACAAAAGTGGGAAGGGAAAAAAAGACCATGCATAATTAGTTGAGTCGAGGGCTGAGTCCCAAGGTTGGGGAGTTCCCCATCATTGGGTCCCAGTCTCCGCCTCCTAAGCCCCCCCACGACAACAACGGGCAAGGGATTGGGGGGGGGGGTAGAAGAGGGGGAGTTAGATGGAGGGTTTAGGAGAGGATGTAGGAGCTTGGGAGGTAGGGGAAGTGGTAGAATGAGCAATATTACTGGAGTAGGGATTAAGAGAAAAACCTCGTCGACGTGCTTCCTGTCTGGCTCCAGACAGGAAGCAAACTGTCCAAGTTTGAATCTGAGAGTTGCTACCTCAGACTCAAATTTGTAGGTGGGGCAGCACCTATAAAATACATTATGAGGGCCACCACAATAAAGAAATGTGTATAATTGTGCAAGGGAGTACTGTCCCTTGTCAGGGAAGCACATTTTGGTAAAAGGGATTTACAAGTGTGTATCCAGGAGGGAGTGGTACGGATAGTAGGGAAGGAGGAGGTTTTGATGTGGGTGGAGCAGAGGATAGAACAGATTGAGAGGGAGTTTGGGAAATTTGAGGAGGAGGGTGGATGTCACTTTGAATGTACCCGGAATGAGGTTAGAGAAACTGGAGGATGGATGAGAGAGAGGAACTTTCTCTTGAGTCTTACTTAGGGAGTTTCTAATGTCCTCAAGGGTTTCTGGGGGGTCTGAGGAGTAAAGGATGTAGATGTGGGAAGGGATGTGTTGGAGAAAATGGGGTGGAACATTTGGATTGCCTGGTATGATAAATACATCAAGGAATAGGGAGAGACATAGGGGGAGTTGTGGAGAGTCTAGATTTAGAATGGAAAATGAATTTGACTGGGTGATAGGGGAAGTGGAGGTGGGAAGTTGAGGAGTAGGGGGAAGTGGTACTGAGGAAGATGTAGAGACTACTTGGGTAGAGTAGGCACTGATTGAAAAACCTTGTCAGCGTGCTTCCTGTCTGGTCCCTCAGAGAGTGAGGCCAAGTTGTATCTGAGAACTGCTACCTCAAACTCAAACTTGTAGGCAGGGCAGCCTCTGTAAAATAAATTGTGGGAACCAATGCAATTATCACATAAATGTGATTGTGCAGGACAGTTTTAAACAGTCATGGCCAGGTTGAGCTCAGAGAGGGCAGCAGGCTGTGGAGCAACAGTGCTTTGCAGGACGGCCAAAATGCCAGCATTTCTGACATTGACAAGGTAGAGGTTGGTATGGTTTGACAAGGCAAGATTCTCCTCTGATACAGACTTCACGGGGAAGGTCAATGTCTATGGAAGGTAATCTTGATAATATTGATGTGGGACTTATGATGGCCTCTCAGGGGGAATAGTGTAGTTGGGCAGGAATAGGTCTGCCAGTGAAGTCGACCAGGGTAGATAGTGCATAAGCTTGAGATTTGGATGTAACTGTGACAAGGCATGAGTGGTCAGGATGACTGCAGAAGGAAACTTTGACTATTTGCTTTTGGAGGCACTGTTGAAAGAGAAGGGTATTGGGATAATAAAAAAAATTTACAGTTTGTATCAATGAGGGGGTGTAGTAGCAGTGTTCAGAGCCAAGATCAAAAGAGAGTCAGTGGTTGGTAAAGCAGAGGAGTTAGTTTCAACAGAAAGGCTATTTGATAAAGGGACAAGCATCAATGCCTCTACTAAGGGTAGAAAATCTTCATTACTGGCCATGGTAGGCCTATAATAGTTGGGAAGATAAAAGGTCCATTCCTCAGGGTCCCCATGTGGGGTATGCACTAGGCAATAACCACGGGGATACCGTACCCATGGCTCCCTGAGGATGTTCATGACTGGCACAAAATCAGCCTTTCATCCTTTGAAAATAGCTCTTACACCCTAGGAATTGGACAAGGGAAGGGGTTGGGAAAGATAAGGAAAAGGAAGGTAGGAGAACAAAAGATTGCAAAATTAGTTAAGTTAAGGGCTGAGGCCCAAGGCAGGGGAGATCCCCAATGTTGAGCCTCAGTCTCCGTCTCCTAAGCCTCCCCACAACAACAACGAGCATTCTCCTTCTACAAATTCCTTCATGCAAAGGAAAACCCTCATACTCACTTTCACTCCTTCTACCAGAAATTGGTTTCTATTATAGCATTTAAAATGTACTTGAGTCATGGAAGATTCTAAATCACACACACCTCAGAACATTCATTCATACATGCACCAACTCATTCACTCATACACACTCACACTGACATTCACTCAGACTTTCCATAATAAAAGTGTTGATACAAGTGTCTACATCATAAAAGCGTATTCAGATCATGCAAGAATCTGAATTACATTAAGGTTTGGGGTAACTGTACATAGCAATGAATATCTTCAGCAATCATTGCTAGACCTATCTTACTACTGCATCCAGTGATGGCAACATCTTTTTATTTGCTAATCATAATATTTCTTTTACTAAAATCAGCATCTTCTTTACTTTAGTTAATATTTGCATAAGAAATGCATATCTGTAACATTTATAAGTGTGGTTCTTGTTTTTATTACTTCTCTGTGATTATTACACTTTAATATCTCTAAAAATGCACATAAATACATGATAAACAATAGAGTACATATAAATAAATGTGCCATAAATATACATCAAAGTACTTTCTCATTCCATCTCAGCAACCTCAATCTACCTCTTTTCCATCTCAGCAACTTCAGTCTACCTGATGAATGAATGACATAGCATCTGCTTAACAAGCAACATAACTAACCTTAAGAATTATTTAGCGACTAATACTGAACACGATATATCATACTACTATAGGACTGCAAATTATCACTGAATACATAAATATACATACAAATAATAACAATATCACCAATAGTAATAGTGATAGCAATAATAATAGCAACAATAATAACAATAATAATAATAATAATAATAATAATAATAATAATAATAATGAAAATAATATCAATAACAATAAATATATGTACAAAAAAAAAGAAAGAAGAAAAAAAAAAAAAAATCTTCCTCCACTATCAACTCTGTCAAAGAGAAGATATAACTAACACTCCATTCCCTGAGGGTCAATCAATATGACCCTCAACCTTAGTGTAAAGAATGCCACGTGTCTTCACAATCTTTGCAGCAATCCACAACACAAGAAATATAGCAGAAAAAGCGTAGATAGCAATGACTGTGTTTTCTTTTGGCATTTGGCACTTGTAAATGCTGAAGTTGTTGGAAGTTATTGTTAACTGGAAAAGAATTATAAAAAAATATGAGATTAGGTTACAGGTTGCACTTACAATTAAATCTATAACAATAACTAAATCTAGTACTAGTACTACTCTTATTTTTCTTCCTTTCTACAACTCCTTTATATTTCTTTATGTCTGTATATTCATTCATTCTTTCTTCATACTTCTTTCTTTCTATATCTCTATCATTATCTATTAATTTCCCTATATCTAGCTTTATCTTTAATTTTTCATTCTTTCTTTCTTTCTTTCTCTGACTTTCATTCCCTCTTTTCCTATCACATTTATTTTTTTTTTATTTCCCTCTATCTATATATATATTTTTTTCTGCATCTTTATTTGCATTTCCCTCTCTACTTCTTTGTTCAATTCTTTGTCTATCTCTATCCTTAGTTCTTTCCTTCTTTATTGCTATTGGGTAATTCCATACCAAACCAACCAACCTATATGTTCTGAATATCCCTAATTTTGATAAAGCTTTTAACTTACATTTCCCATGGTAAGAAAAGACTATGCACCAAATTTCAGTTTAATATCTGTAGTGGGGGCCGAGAAATCAGTTTCTAAAGATTTTCCCCATTCCGCCCTGACCGCAACCCCCCAAACAGTAAAACATTAATAACTTTTGTTCTGGTTGTTCCATTGAATCCAGTGATAGCTCATTTTAAAGCTCTTTTCAAGCTCTGTTCAAATATGACAGGCTCTCCAACATATCCTACATGACAAAAATATCAATCATGAAAAACCATCTTCATTTTCATTGGCTCCCTGAGGCAAATTTTATATCAAGCCAAGCCTTCAAAAGCCAAATGAAAATCAAATTCAAACACCATTACAACTTTTTAAATGGGCAGAAGAGAATATAAAGGTGTTCACTTTGCATATGCCACAAGTGAGGAAATATTGGAAACTGGAAAGAAACTTGCAAAAAGGTTTCTAACAAGTAAAGCGATAGAGGGAACTCAAAAGCTTCATGCTTTTGTTTCAATACCCAACTGCAAGACAAAGATAAAAGCACGAGAGTACTTTGTGCCAACCGAAACATTTAGTATCAGTAATGAATCTTTGAAAAAATTACCAGAATGGGAAAAGATAAATGGATATGTTATATGTGAGTATGATGGCAAATAGTGGCTTGCATATGTTCTTGAGCAATTTCAAGCAACAAGAGAAATAAAAGTAAAATTTCTGCATCCATCAGGACTAGCAACCTCTTTCTTGTTTCCAAACATACTATTGTAGCTTTGATTGCTAACTCATTTAAAAACTCTTTTTACATCTATTAGCCTTCAATGTATGTTTTTGTAAGAGATATTAGAGAAATTTCTAATATTTTCCTTTATTGTTGACATTTTGTGTAGTTACGTTTTTTCCAAAGCCCATAACTCAGTTATCCACTCTATAAATTTGTGTCATGGTTATTTATACATAAAGGAAGATTTTGATATAAAATTTGCCTCAGGGGGGAGAGGTACTAATTCGCAAGGAGCCATGTAAATGAAGATGGTTTTTCAAGATTGGTATTTTTGTTATGTAGGATATGTTGGTGAACCTGTCATATTTGAACAGAGCTTGAAAAGAGCTTTAAAATGAGCTATCACTGGACTCAATGGTCAGGGCGGAACGGGGAAAATCTTTAGAAACTGATTTCTCGGTCCCTACTACAGATATTAAACTGAAATTTGGTGCATAGTCTTTTCTTACCATGGGAACCAAATTCATGAAATGTGGAAAGCTTCACACATTGTACGGGGAAATTTTTGTTTTCAATTTGTTGATTTCATATGGAATTACCCTACTTTTATTTTTTCTATATTTCAATCTCAATCTTTTTTCTTCACCTCTTTCTTTTATTTTTTTTCTAACTTTATTTCTTTCTATCTCTCTGATGTTCTAGTTTCTTTACCTATATTCCTTTATTTCTCTATTTTTTTCTTTTCCAGGAATTACCCCTTACCATAGAAAAAGTCGGATTTTCTTTGTTTCGCCACGAGAAGGATGGAACTGTGTATTCATCAACTGTTGTTCCTTTACTCGTGTTGTGCTTCACATGGCAGCCATGGTGAGTGTGGCCACTGAGAACCAATCTCGGGGAGAGTTCTTCAAAGAGCTGTAGATGTTTAGAAAGTATATGAAGAGATGGTGATGTTATGATGATAATAATGATGTGATGTGATGCAATGTGATGTGGTAATGATGATAATGATGGTGATATGGAAATAGAAAAGGAAATGGAAATGGAAATGGAAATGGAAATGGAAAGGGAAAAGGAAAGAGAGGAGGGAGGGGAAGGAGGGAGGGGGGGGGGAGAGAGAGAGAGAGAGAGAGAGAGAGAGAGAGAGAGAGAGAGAGAGAGAGAGAGAGAGAGAGAGAGAGGGAGAGAGGAGAGAGAGAGAGAGAGAGAGAGAGAGAGAGAGAGAGAGAGAGAGAGAGAGAGAGAGAGAGAGAGAGAGAGAAGAGAGAAAGAGGAGAAAGAGAGAAGAGGAGAGAAAGAGAGAAAGAGAGAAAGAGAGAAAGAGAGGGAGAGGGAGAGGGAGAGGGAGAAGGGGATGGAGATGGGGAAGGGGAAAGGGAAGTTGAAAGGGAGAGGGAGAAGGGGAGGGGGAAGTTCAAGGGGAGGGGGAAGGGGAGAGGGAGAAGGGGAGGGAGGAGGGGAGGGGGAGAGGAAGAAGGGGAGGGGGAAGGGGAGGGGGAGAGGGAGAAGAGGAGGGGGAAGTTGAAGGGGAAGGGGAGGGGGAAGTTGAAGGGGAGAGGGAGAGGGAGAGGGAGAGAGAGAGGGAGAAGGGGAGGGGGATGGGGAGAGGGAGAAGGGGAGGGGGAAGTTGGAGTAGGAGTAGGAGAAGCAGGAGGTAGGGGAGGAGGAGGGGAGGAGGAGGATGATGATGGGGGGGAGGGGGAGGGGAAGTTTGAGTAGGAGAAGCAGGAGGGAGGGGAGGAGGAGGAAGGGAGAAGGAGAAGGATGATGGGGGGGAGGGGGAGGGGAAGTTTGAGTAGGAGAAGCAGGAGGGAGGGGAGGAGGAGGAAGGGAGGAGGAGAAGGATGATGGGGGGGAGGGGGAGGGGAAGTTTGAGTAGGAGAAGCAGGAGGGAGGGGAGGAGGAGGTGGTGGAGGAGGAGGAAGAAGAGAAGGAGGAAGGGGAAGAAGAGGAGGAGCAGGAGGAGGAGAGAAGTGAAGAGACAGAGGAGGAGGAAGGGGAGAGGGAGTGGGGTAGTAGTAATAATAGTAGTAGTAGGAGGAGAAAGAGAAGGTGGTAGATGAGGAGGAGGAGGAGGGGGAGCAAGAGGAGAGGAGGAGGAAGAGCAAGAGGAAGAGGAGGAGGAAGAGGAGGAGGAGCAAAAGAGAAGGAGGAGGAGAAAGAAAAGGTGGAGGGAGGGGGAGGGAGAGGAGGAGTAAGAGGAGGAGGGAGGGGAAGAAGAGAAAGAGCAGGAGGAGGAGGAGGAGGAGGAGGAGGAGGAGGAGGAGCAAGAGGAAGAGGAGGGGGAAGAGTAAGAGGAAAAGGAGGAAGATCATGAGGCATTCTAATCAAAATGGCCAGCATCCATTAAAATCCAACTTTCAAAAAATCTCAGAACACCAGAGTTTGTGCAATTCATTTGTGTAGCCTAAGCACATATATGGATATATGGTTGACATTCAGAAGGGCACAAATGTAGATGTTCATTTTTTTTTACAGGTCTGGCTTTAATCTACAAAACATTTACATTACACAATTCAAACTTCTGTGATAGAAAGACTAATTGTAAATAATTCCCATGTAAATATCACAATTAAATGAACATCTAATAAACTTTGAAATCTTTAACAAACATGAAAATTATTTCCCACTCACACTTCTATTTGAATATCAACTCACAGTTTCTGTTGCATCCCTAGATATGCATTCCCAGCGTTCTCTGAACAGTAAGTGTTTGATGTCTTCAGGCGCTTCATCCACCTCACTACAGATGCTATCTGATTCACGGTAAAGTGGATAATGCTGTTGGTAAGAATTTCATTTAAATTTTTGAGTGAAGAGTAATATCATACATTTTTATGTAATCACTGTTATTTTCAAAGTACTCTGTACTAGTCATTGCATCATTTTCATACTGAAAGAATATAATGAAAACTTTTTATTTCTCAATAACAATTGGATTTACCTACACTTTCATCCAAACTTTCATTGATACTTTATAAGGTTACAATATCATTCACTAAAATTACATAAGCATGGGTAGTTATCCATTACTTGTAATATGACAGGCTGACTATACTGTTGCAATTGTGAACTCTTCCAGTACTGACAGGCTGCCATATCACCAGCAGCACACCTGAGCTGTCCTGTAATGAAATGATGGCTTTAATGTAATGTGACTAGCAACAAAAAAATTATACATTCTATCAATTAACTCAATGGCGTACAAAAGAAAAAAAAAACTCTACGCTTAAACAAACGAAGGCGGCGCGGCGACTTTGAGCGCGTGAGTAGGGGACATCAGCTAGAATCACTGGCTCGCCGCGCTTTGGCGTGCCGCCGGCTCGTTCAGCTGCACGCCAGCTTTCGAGCTCTTTGTCTACACGCCGATCGGCGTCACCCGGCACCAAGGGGTTAAAAAAAAAACACATCCAGATTTCTCCCTCTGTGTCAATTCCAGAAAGATGTCAAGACCTACATGACTGCCTATATTTGATTTTCAGTTTAGTTTGAGGCTTAACTCATTCCCAATGGGCATGGCATGTACGCACATGCAATGCCCTCTGTGAGTTTACTTATTTGATTGTTTTTATACACAGATGGATACACTTGTACTAAATCACCAATGAGCCAGTTACGAGTACTGCCTGTCTCGTCCGTTTACCCTTTTCTTTAATTTAAGAAAATATTTTAAGTTATCTTATTTAGCTGTTACTAACGTTTATAACATTATCGTAATTATAATGTTTATAATAAAAATATCACCATTGATAGCACTAGTAAAAAATACATTTTCCCGCCAATTCCAGGAAAGGTGAAATCAGCTAAGGCAGAGCCATCTATGTGTAGAGACATTTCACAAAAGATATAAAAAATGAGCATAGCATTTTCCCCATTTTTTATTTATTTTCCCAGGCGGCAATGGCTTAAATTATGTTCAAGCAACACTGATCAGTATAGGACAGACATACCAGGCAATCTGCATGTTGCACTACAGCTTTCCCAAGTGGGCCAAAATCTCTTGTGAGTAATAACTACCAAACAATGACTAAAATCACTGAACTAACATTGTACAACCTTAAAAATGACTGCTCAAGTAGAGTGTGGCCAACCCAGCAGTTTAACCCATTGCCACCGGGGAAAACAAAAAATGGGGAGAATACTGTACTAATTTTTTATATTTTTGTGAAATATGTCTGTCCATAGATGGCTCTGCTAGTCCTGATTTCACCTTTCCTTAAATTGGCGGGAAAAAACGTATTCTTACTAGTGCTATAAATATAGATGGTGTTATTTTTAACAGCAAATTAGAATAACGTTAAATATTTTTGTTAATCGATGAAAAGGGTGAACGGGCGAGACAGGCAGTACTTGTAATTGGCTCATTGGATACTTAGTACAAATGTAGCCATCTATGTGTAAAAACAATCGAACAAGTTGACTCACAGTGGGCATGGCATGTTACCAAAATTACTGATCAAGACATTCTTAAAATTTTGCAGGAACTAGAGAAAGCATTTCCTAAAATATGATTTTCCTAACTCCTGCTAAACTGCAAGGGAGTACATAAGCAAATAAATAATTGAAGAGTGGACAAGAAAATCAAGAATTAGAGTAAGTAGTAAATAATGAATGCAGGTACATAAAGAATATAAAATAACCATAACACCAGTAAAGAATCCAAATATATTCAATAACAATACCAGAACTGAAAATTAATAGAATAAAGTAAAATGAAACAAACAAACTAAATAAAGAATGAGTGTAACTTCAGTAAACAAAAACAACACAAAAAATAAAGTGTCTCCTCCTACACTTACGTCCAATGATTTTTATTTTGTCTGAGGCAGGCTTACATAAAAAGCACTCGTCCCCCTCCAAGGCCATGCTGTTAATGGTGACAAAGGTGACTCCCTTTATCTGCTTCAGAGCCACTAGCCCAGTGGCAAAAACGGCTTCGAAGCGGTTCACCAGGTATGGATTCAGGCTGTGGAAAAGAAATCACTCATAATGTATGGAGTGAAAACAGGGGAAGTGGGGAGTGGGGTACAAAGACATTTCTCGCACTTTATCTAGAGGCAAAGAGGAAACATGATTAAAACTTTTACATTCAGGCATACAGAGGAAATTCATCCCCATCCCAACCTCAACCTGAAAACATAAAATCTAAAGGAAAGGTGAAATAGTATAAGAAGTTGAAACACATTACAAAACATGGTTTTACCATAAAGTAATATAACTACAAACTATTAAGAACACTAAGTATATGTGAAAGAACTATATGACACATTCATTATTCAAAAAAAGGGAGAGTTAAGAAAATTAACATTTCTACAATCAGCACACTTGCCTGTAGTGGAAACCAATATCATGATTCCCAACAGCTACAAGAACATGTGTTTCTTCAGGAGTTCGAAAGAGGTCATGGAACCTTTGAACATATTCAGCAAACTCACTTGGCTTGCACCATTTTCCTTCGTCAAATAAGTCACCTAGAAATAAGTTACTATAAATAAATAAATAAATAAATAAACACACACACACACACACATTCTTTAACTAACAACAATTTGAAAATGAATTTAAAAAAAATAAAAATATAGAATAAAAGAATAAAAGTTAGAGGTCAGAAATAAGATCGTAGGATAACATTCCAGATAATATTTACACATTTATTAATTCCCTTCCTCCATATAGTTCAGTTCAGTAGAATCTAAACTTTTTAATCAATACTAATATCTTATGACATCAACACAAAATCATGACAGAGTAAGCTACAAGTGTCATAAAACTCCACTGTACATCAAAGATATTAAGAACATTTAGTAATGATCATGAAACTCTTGTATCATCTCTTAGTAAACTTAACATAATGCA